TTGTTGGGACGAAGAGCTCGTTCTGAGGAGAAAAGGAGGGATGTTAAGTATGTAACATTGTAAATTCACATACAATCCCGTATGCAAGACAGAGAAGTGCAGTCCTCTTTCTAAATTCACTTACGATCCCTTTCTCTGACACGATTTTATGCGTAGGGTAAATTTATATTCTCGATCTATCCAAATAGGATACTTTTTTTAAAAAAAGTATTTTTCACCACAGATTGGGATAAAAATATTATTTGAGAAGAAGAAAGAAGCACAAAGTATGCAAGACCGAGAAGTGCAGTCCTCTTTCTAAATTCACTTACGATCCCTTTCTCTGACACGATTTTATGCGTAGGATAAATTTATATCCTCAATCTATCCAAATAGGATACTTTTTTAAAAAATATATATATTTTTCACCACGGATTGGGATAAAAATATTCTTTGAAAAGAAGAAAGAAGCACAAAGTATGCAAGACCGAGAAGTGCAGTCCTCTTTCTAAATTCACTTACGATCCCTTTCTCTGACACGATTTTATGCGTAGGATAAATTTATATCCTCAATCTATCCAAATAGGATAGCCTTTTTTATACTTTAGTCACCAAGTATGCAAAAACAAGAAATACCACCATCTTTCCCGGCCTATATTAGATTATAGATTATTGCTATCTCAATTACCATGGCTAATTTGGGCCCAAGAATGGGGAAAGATGGAACAAACCCCAGGTTCAAATCCCAGGTTAGGAAGCTTTCTCAATATTTAACCATCATGAGATCAATTCAAATACGAGAAGTAAAATGCACTTCGTCCCTTAAGGTTTAAACATTAGCTTTTGATCATCATGCTGATCTAAATATCTACCTTGGCTCAAATTATTTCTACTGCCAGAAATTAACATCATTTGGAATCCTACTATTGTAAAAGTACTGAGACATAGAAAGTCTGAGATCCTTCATAGGGGGTATGTAGGATTCCAAGCATAAGGGATCTTAGGTAAATAACACACGTGTTCTAGAATCTAGATCCCTAAATGAAACCCTTTAAATGTGTTTGCATTTATAAATATTCATAATCTATCTACCTACTTCCTGTCCAACACCTCCAATCCATAGAAGTGTCTCTTTGTGACAAAGCAGAATAACAATCCCAAAATGTCATATAACAGCCTGACCTTTATCTGTTTCTCCTTGAAAGCAGTTCCCATGGAACTGGACAAATCCAAACAATATTTTCTGTCTCAAATTTGGTTCGACCTACAGTCTCTGAGAGTTCACGCTAACACTGTAAGGTGAATTAAGCAACTAAAAGACAAACATCTGTGGTAACTCGGCTAATTTCTTAATAACAAGATTTGATTGATTTCCTTCCAGTCTTGTACCTCTTCCTGAAAGCATGTATGAAGACACTTCAAGCAGTCGATTAATTAGCCGGGACCAGAATCCCATAGGAAAATAGGGCATCTCATACAATCTTATAATAAGCTCGGAGTTTTCACAGTGAGGTAATTCTATCACAGGGCGTTGATCTGACAAGCTTCAAGAGAAAAAAAAAACAAATTCATCAATTAATTTAAAAAGGGAGCTATTTTTCCCCCCTTTTTCATTTTTTCATTCCCCAGGTTGGCAATGGGGTGACAGTCAAAAGGTGCAGATCTTCTCTGAGTGATAATTAATGGCTGACACCATAACATTGAGCAAGCGTCCATAAGAAGTCCCTGTGTTCTATTGGGCACTTTGGAATTATTGCACAAATGGTAGCAAACGCACAAATTTGCTTCGGTAACCTCCGATACAAATTAAATAATAGAAGAGAATATTTGTAGCTGAGGGTTGAATTGAACTTGCAGCAACATAATAACTCTAGGCTTATTCCTCTCTTGACTCCCTCTCCAGTGGAAACTTACAATTTCCAATCTATAGTTTTTACCTGCTGCTAATAGCCATTTCACGTATCACCATTTAAAGAAAGAAAATGGTTAATAACACACAGATAAAGGAGAATATTTCAGCTCAGGTTGAGCTGTGGGGTCCCTGGTGCTGTCTGAGCTTGATGGTTTTCTTGCAGACGTTTCAGGACCCAACTAGGTAACATTATCAGTGCTAGTAGGAAGTGAGGTTTATATTGTCTGCTTCTTGATTGTCGGCCTAACGTTAATCTTAGGTTTAATCTTTGTTCCTCTGTCTGTTGATTGCTGGTGAGCAGGTGTTTTGGGATTTTGTTTCCTTTCCAACGATCAAGAAGCAAAGAAGGCAAGCAACTCCCAGCTCAGACAAATAAACTAACAGTAAAATAACCCAATAAAGAATCACCCATATTGCTCCCACCAACACTGACAGGGCTTGCCACTGGTATATAAAATGAGAGCGAATCCCACTCCCTTCTAGCACTGATGTTGTTACCTAGTTGGGTCATGAAACATCTGCAAGAAAACAACCAAGCTCAGAGCCCACCAAGGACCCCACAGTTCTTCTCCTCCTCCTCCTCCTCCTCCTCCTNTTGTTGGGACGAAGAGCTCGTTCTGAGGAGAAAAGGAGGGATGTTAAGTATGTAACATTGTAAATTCACATACAATCCCGTATGCAAGACAGAGAAGTGCAGTCCTCTTTCTAAATTCACTTACGATCCCTTTCTCTGACACGATTTTATGCGTAGGGTAAATTTATATTCTCGATCTATCCAAATAGGATACTTTTTTAAAAAAAAGTATTTTTCACCACAGATTGGGATAAAAATATTATTTGAGAAGAAGAAAGAAGCACAAAGTATGCAAGACCGAGAAGTGCAGTCCTCTTTCTAAATTCACTTACGATCCCTTTCTCTGACACGATTTTATGCGTAGGATAAATTTATATCCTCAATCTATCCAAATAGGATACTTTTTTAAAAAATATATATATTTTTCACCACGGATTGGGATAAAAATATTCTTTGAAAAGAAGAAAGAAGCACAAAGTATGCAAGACCGAGAAGTGCAGTCCTCTTTCTAAATTCACTTAGGATCCCTTTCTCTGACACGATTTTATGCGTAGGATAAATTTATATCCTCAATCTATCCAAAGAGGATAGCCTTTTTTATACTTTAGTCACCAAGTATGCAAAAACAAGAAATACCACCATCTTTCCCGGCCTATATTAGATTATAGATTATTGCTATCTCAATTACCATGGCTAATTAGGGCCCAAGAATGGGGAAAGATGGAACAAACCCCAGGTTCAAATCCCAGGTTAGGAAGCTTTCTCAATATTTAACCATCACGAGATCAATTCAAATACAAGAAGTAAAATGCACTTCGTCCCTTAAGGTTTAAACATTAGCTTTTGATCATCATGCTGATCTAAATATCTACCTTGGCTCAAATTATTTCTACTGCCATAAATTAACATCATTTGGAATCCTACTATTGTAAAAGTACTGAGACATAGGAAGTCTGAGATCCTCCATAGGGGGTATTTAGGATTCCAAGCATAAGGGTAAATAACACACGTGTTCTAGATCCCTAAATGAAATCCTTTAAACGAGTTTGCATTTATAAATATTCATAATCAATCTATCTACCTACTTCCTATCCAACACCTCCAATCCACAGAAGTGTCTCTTTGTGACAAAGCAAGATAACAATCCCAAAATGTCATATAACAGCCTGACCTTTATCTGTTTCTCCTTGAAAGCAGTTCCCATGGAACTGGACAAATCCAAGCAATATTTTCTGTATCAAATTTTGGTTCGGCCTACAGGCTCTGAGAGTTCACGCTAACACTGTAAGGTGAATTAAGCAACTAAAAGACAAACATCTGTGGTAACTCGGCTAATTTCTTAATAACAAGGTTTGATTGATTTCCTTCCAATCTTGTACCTCTTCCTGAAAGCATGTATGAAGACACTTCAAGTAGTCGATTAATTAGCCGGGACCAGAATCCCATAGGAAAATAGGGCATCTCATACAATCTTATAATAAGCTCGGAGTTTTCGCAGTGAGGTAATTCTATCACAGGCCGTTGATCTGACAAGCTTCAAGAGAAAAAAAACAATAAATTCATCAATTAATTTAAAAAGGGAGCTATTTTTCCCCCCCTTTTTCATTTTTTCATTCCCCAGGTTGGCAATGGGGTGACAGTCAAAAGGTGCAGATCTTCTCTGAGTGATCATTAATGGCTGACACTATAACATTGAGCAAGCGTCCATAAGAAGCCCCTGTGTTCTATTGGGCACTTTGGAATTATTGCACAAGTGGTAGCAAACGGACAAATTTGCTTCGGTAACCCCCGATACAAATTAAATAATAGAAGAGAATATTTGTAGCTGAGAGTTGAATTGAACTTGCAGCAACATAATAACTCTAGGCTTATTCCTCTCTTGACTCCCTCTCCAGTGGAAACTTACAATTTCCAATCTATAGTTTTTACCTACTGCTAATAGCCATTTCACGCATCACCATTTAAAGAAAGGAAATGGTTAATAACACACCGATAAAGGAGAATATTTGTAGCTCAGGTTGAGCTGTGGGGTCCTTGGTGCTGTCTGAGCTTGGTGGTTTTCTTGCAGACGTTTCAGGACCCAACTAGGTAACATTATCAGTGCTAGTAGGAAGTGAGGTTTATATTGCTTGCTTCTTGATTGTCGGCCTAACGTTAATCTTAGGTTTAATCTTTGTTCCTCTGTCTGTTGATTGCTGGTAAGCAGGTGTTTTGGGATTTTGTTTCCTTTCCAACGATCAAGAAGCAAAGAAGGCAAGCAACTCCCAGCTCAGACAAATAAACTAACAGTAAAATAACCCAATAAAGAATCACCCATATTGCTCCCACCAACACTGACAAGGCTTGCCACTGGTATATAAAATGAGAGCGAATCCCACTCCCTTCTAGCACTGATGTTGTTACCTAGTTGGGTCATGAAACATCTGCAAGAAAACAACCAAGCTCAGAGCCCACCAAGGACCCCACAGTTCTCCTCCTCCTCCTCCTCCTCCTTCCCCCTTCTAGCACTGATGAGGTTACCTAGTTGGGTAATGAAATGTTTGCAAGAAAACAAGCAAGCTCAGAAAGCACCAAGGACCCCACAGTTCTCCTCCTCCTCCTCCTCCTCCATCATTCCACAAACCCTACTCCCTTCTAGCACTGATGATATGACCTAGTTGGGTCACGAAACATCTGGAAGAAAACAACCAAGCTCAGAGAGCACCAAGGACCCCACAAATTAAATAATTCACATCATCTGTAATGAAGTCATAACGTACGAGAGGTTACTTGTTCCCCACACTCTCCCTCCCCCTGCCAATGCTCAGGTAACCATGAGTTCTAATTTTTTTTTGTTTACCTGCTCGGAATAAGCAGTTGATCTTCTCCGAGTGGCAAAGCAATCTGAAATTTCTCTAGCAGCTTGAAGTATTGGCCCTTGCAGATCTCAGGAAATTTACTATTCTTTAGCAGGGATTTTTCCACATCAGAACGCTTTATGATCCCTTTGGGGTACTTCGTAAAGCCATCCACCTTCACGGTCAAGATCTATGGAACAGAAACCAGTCTCACCAACCTCACTACGATTTGCTTAGTACAGAGAAGAGCAACAAAGATGATCAGGGGACTGGAGGCTAAAACATATAAGGAACGGTTGCTGGAATTGGGTCTGTCTAGTTTAACAAAGAGATGGACGTGGGGGGACATGATAGCAGTCTTCCAATATCTCAGGGGCTGCCCCAAAGAAGAGGGAGTCAAGCTATTCTCCAAAGCGCCCGAAGGCAGGACAAGAAGCAACGGATGGAAACTCATCAAGGAGAGAAGCAACCTGGAACTAAGGTGAAATTTCCTGACAGCCAGAACAATTAACCAGTGGAACAACCTGCCTCCAGAAGCGGTGAATGGGCCAACACTGGAAGTTTTTAAGAAGAGACTGGACAGCCATTTGTCCGAAATGGTGTAGGGTTTCCTGCCTGAGTAGGTGGTTGGACTAGATGACCTCCAAAATCCCTTCCAACATGATCATGATCATGATCATCATGATCATGATCATCATGATCATCATCATCATCATGATCATCATCATCATTATTATTATTGTTACTACAAAAAGAGAACAATCCAGAAAACCTGGCTTGGAACTCCATTCGAGACCCACCTGGCCGATGATTTTACACAGCCACTTGGGATCGACAAAATACAAATTTCGGAGCTGAAGGGCGGGATCCTGAAAGTGGAGGAGGACACCTAAATAATAAAAAAAAAGTCTGCTTAGTATGTATGCATCAATGAATACGAAACATTTAAAAACAGTGTGGTTTATTACTTTATAATTCACTACCCTTTGTTCAGTGGGGGATCCCCATCCCTCTCTTAGCCCAGCCCACCTCACAGGGTTGCTGTTATGGGGAAAATAGGAGGAGGAGGAAGGACTATAACAGTGGCCCTCAATCTTTGGGGCACAAAGGACCGGTTCCACGGAGAGAGGTTTTTCCGTGGACCGGAGGTGGCGTGGTTTCGCGTGCTGCTGGCATCCCGTGGATGGAGCTTCGCTTGTTTGCGTGAACCGGTTTCTGGCATGCCACGGCCCCATGCCTGTCCACGGACCGGGGGTTGGGGACCCCTGGACTATTGGGTTTGCAACTTATAAGTAATAAAGGTGGCACAAAACGAAACTTCCCAACTTAGCATAACGTTTTTGTCTAAACGAAAAAAGCGATTGTGGAGCCACTGACTGTCGCAGTTCAACCGCCACATTTTTTTTTACCTGATTCATTCAGAAAATGCACAGCGTGGGAAAGCTCATTTTCATCCAACTGCAGCTGATTTTCTTGCACCAATTCGTAAAGCTGACTCTGGCAAATCACAGGGAACTCAGATGGCAACGTTTTGCGTATTTCCAGAATACTCTTCTCAAGTTCTAAGTAGCTGTCTGGAATTAACTGGCCAATCACCGGCTGATCTCTGATCTGCAGGGAAAAAATAAATAAATAAACAAAATGTTGTTCCGATATTTCGATGAATGACTGAGGGATGAACTGTACTTTCCTAGTCAATCATTTCTCCTTGAAATATGGATTATAGTTTGGGCCGGTCTAGAATAGACAGTAAAACGTGGAATAACTGGGTTGGAACGGACCGTGGAGGTCTTCTAGTCCAGTGGTTCTCAACCTTTTTAATGCCGTGACCCCAACCGGTCGTAAGTCGAGGACTAAACCGGTCGTAAGTCGAGGACTAAACTGGTCATAAGTCCAGGACTACCCGACTGGTCGTAAGTCGAGGACTTTCCCTGCCCGGGAGCGCCGCACATGCGTGGTTCTGCCGCCTGCGCTGGCCGAGGCGTAGCTGGCAAGCGGCAGAGACGGAGCAGGCCGACCACCAGCTGGCCCAGCCCAAGGGAGGTAAGGCACCCGCTGGAAAAGGGGGAAAAAATGGCGGACAAAAAAAATGGCAGACAAAAAAAATGGCGGACAGCCTTGCTTGGCGACCCCCATGAAATGGTCGATCGACTCCAAATGGGGTCCCGACCCACAGGTTGAGAACCACTGTTCTAGTCCAACCCCTGTTCAAGCACGAGGCTATCTTGGAAAAATGATTGTCCAAACTCTTCTTGAAAAATTCTGCCTTCCTGAAGATTGAAGAGATTGAGCCATTGAGAAGGACCAGGCATTCAAAGTAAGCCAGAAGGTGGCTTGTTTCATTTTAGTTTAGGGTACCATGCAAATCCAGCTACTGTGTCTTGAAAACTATGATTCATGGCTTTACAAGGTGGTGTGAATCTGGTCTAGTCAATAAGCAATTGCTACCATAGTTAAGTCATATCTTCTGCAGTGATAACAGAATAACAGAGTGAGAAAGGATTTGGAGGTCATTTAGTCCAACCCCCTGCTCAAGCAGGAGACTCTATGCCATTTCAGACAAGTGGCTATCCAATCTCTTCTTAAAAACCTCCAGTGTTGGAGCACCCACACCTTCTGGAGGCAGGTTGTTCCACTGATTAATAGTTCTCACTGTCAGGAAATTTCTCTTTAGTTCTAAGATGGATGAACCCAGAACTGGGTAGATGTCTTTTTTAAACTATCTGGGAAAACCAAATCTGTATTTATGACATTAAAGAATTGCACTGAACATTAAGCAGTAACTTCCCTGGTGGCTAATTGAGCAAGATTTTATGCAAATATGCCTGAGAACATGAACTTATCAACCATTTAATTATGGTTGGTGTAGTGGTTAGAATGAAGTATTGCAGGCAAATTCTGCTCGCTGCCAGCAGTTCGATCCTGACCGGCTCAAGGTTGACTCAACCTTCTATCCTTCTGAGGTCGATAAAATGAGGACCCAGACTGTTGGGGACCTCATGCTGACTCTGTAAACTGCTTAGAGAGGGCTATAAAGCAGTATATAAGTGCTATTACTCTTTATATTAAAGCGAAACGGCTTACTTTAAACTCCAGACATTCTTTGATGATGATTTGTCGAAGCTTAGTCATTGATTCAGACTCTTCTGTGGCTTTCACAAAGTGATAGTCGTGGATTTGGGGAAATCCCTTCTGATTCATCAACTCCTTGGTGATTTTATTGATGCAAACTCTACGCTGCTTTTCGCTAGAGATGTCTAAATGAGTTCCGATGAGAATCACAGGGGAGAATGACGCTCGGGTCTATAAAACAGGGGTTGCAAAGTTCTAGATTAAGACTTTTCTCCCATAATTACCCTTTTATCTGCAGTTGGTTTTATTCCATTTTATTAGCCTCACTCCTAGCCACCTTGCAACCAGGATGTCACCTCAGATTTGACAAGCAGTTTAGAATAAAACCTTTTTTTTTTTTAATTTTATTGATTTTCTAACATTACATTTATATCTTTGAAAAAACAATGTGGCGGCTGAGTTACTATAATTCAATTACATACAAATATTCTTAATACAAATATTCTGTATATTCTTGCTTTGACAATATGCAGAACTGTCTGGTATTTATATAGTTAAACCAGCAACTGGGAAAGAGGGAGGAGAATAAGGATAGCCCGGGAGAAAGAAACTGGAAGTAAATCACATCTTCTAAGTTGATTGGAAGATGTGAACCATGACCCCAAAATAAGGGAGTGGGAAATGCTTAGAATGTATATGCGTAACGGAAGAGAAGCCAGACCTAAGAATTTCCACCATGCTGTACTGACGTCTCTATAACCTTAATAAATGCTTTTAGGAAAAAATATGCCTGAAAGTCCTTTTAAGTGTTTCGTTAATCAGACACATGACACTCAAACTATTACAATAGGTATTTCCTCTCTTTTCCCCTTAATATGTACTGTCTCATATTTGAATGAATACACTTCTTATTCAATCAGTCAAATAAAAAATAACTTTTTAATATTTATCAATAGTTTTTAGTTTACATATATCTTGATTGTTTTAACGTTCAATCTTTGAGACAATCAATGTCCTAGTGACTTTTTCTCAACCTTAATTTTCCATTAATATTTAAAATTAACGTTTAATATTTATCATTTCCAAGTTATTAAATGTTCCCAATTCCCTTCATTACAATTACTTTAAAAAAAAAGATCCTCAAATTCCTTATTCCCACTGACCAGAATAGTATACATCTGTGTAACAGAGCTAAAAAAAAAATAGATAATTTCTTTCTGATTGATTAAATAAGGAAAAATATTCTGTTCCTGTTCTCAAGGCCTGCTTTTCACACTTCACAAAGAATCCTTAACAAAAGAACCTTTTACGATTGCAAATCCTTCAGGAAGTTTTTATGATCACTGGAATGCTGTCAGCCAAACGTAACAGGGATCTATTTCTTTTAAGAAGTTCGCAGCGAGGAAAGATGAGAAATTGTAAATGAATTTGGGACCGTTTGCCCTACTTTATTTGTAAGTAAGCTGGAAGGGGTTGGGGAAATTAGTCAATCTAATTTATTAATTTAATAATTTCCCAGTTGCAATGTATGGCTGTGAAAGTTGGACCACAAGAAAGGCTGAGCGCCAAAGAATGGAGGCCTTTGAACTATAGTGCTGGAGAAGACTCTTGCGAGTCCCCTGGACTGCAAGGCGATCAAACCGGTCAGTCCTAGAGGAGATCCACCCTGACTGCTCTTTAGAAGACCAGATCCTGAAGTTGAAACTCAAGTACTTTGGCCACCTAATGAGAAGGAAGGACTCACTGGAGAAGAGCCTCATGCTGGGAAAGATGGAGGGCAAGAGAAGAAGGGGACGACAGAGAATGAGGTGGCTGGAGGAAGTCACTGAAGCAGGAGGCGTGAGCTTCAATGGACTCCAGAAGATGGTAGAGGACAGGAAGGTCTGGAGCAGTGATGGCAAACCTTTTAGAGACTGAGTGCCCAAACTGCAACCCAAAACCCACTTATGCATCGTCGAGTGCCAGGGGGGTGTGGCCCATTGGCTGGGTGTGGCCAATTGGGTGGGCGTGGCTGCAGTGGTAACGGCAGACTGGGTGCGACTAAAAAGTTCAATCAATCAATTCCAACTTTGCAAGGACTTTTTTTTTCCTGCGAGAAGTTGAAATTGACTGATTGAACCTTTTTTTTTTTTTTTTGCACATGGCGGAGGAGGCCTAAAGCAAAAAGGTTTTATAAAACCCAGCTGAAGGCCTAGGACTGGGGCGACGACGCGCGTGCCCACAGAGAGGGCTCTGGGTGCCGCCTCTGGCACCCGTGCCATAGGTTCGCCACCACTGGTCTGGAGGAACATTGTTCATGGGGTTGCGATGGGTCAGACACGACTTTGCAACTAACAACAACAACAAAAAAAACCTATAGATTGGAAATTGTAAGTTTCCACTGGAGAGGGAATCAAGAGAGGAATAAGCCTAGAGTCATAAAAGAGCCAAGGCTGCCTACCCCTGGTTTAGACAATGGAAGAGATCTCTCAATTGTATTTCATCCAAACTGAACACTCCTACCTTTTTTAAATTAACAATCTTCCCTTTTGGTTTTCACACATTTCTATAGACATTGGTTAAAGGCCAAATTTCACCTACTCCCACCAAAAAAGTGCTGGCAGAGGTTATCCCCCAGGTCCCAAACACTGAATAAGGTTAGTAAGTTGTGGGTTGGAGTCCACAGTCCTGAGGACTTCCACCAGATGGCCAGGGCTCTCCGAAGTTGTGTTTGTGCAAGCTTAGGAGAGCCACAGGGTCACTTCTCCTGACATAATCAGGTTCACAAATTCTGTAGGAGAACAGCTGGCTGAGCTGGGAGGCGGAGTTAAAGATGTCATTAGTTTGGAATCATTGTGCAGCCACAAGAGACCCACATCCAATCTCGGTGAATTCTGTTGACTTTTATCCAGCGCCGATTTAGCTTTGACTGTTAGTTGACTAGATATTTGTGTATGGGTAGCAATAATAAACTCTTCTCTGCTATGAACTCGATGAATGCTCCTGGTTATTTGTGCCTGACAAATTCTCTATCATATCAGTGTTTTTTTTTTAAAAAAGAAAGTATGTTACCTTGATATTAAACAGCCACGGTTTCATGGCATCCACTTCGGATTCCCCTTTGCTAAGGTCATAAACCACGAGGTAGAGAGCCCGCTGAGTCATAAAATGGAGATGAGCGCTATAGAATTCTTCTTGACCTGCAGAACAGCAAGGACAGCAGTAAATTGGCAGATGCTATGTATGCCCACATACGCTCTGCGTGACCTCCAGTCCTCAGCAAAGCGAGATGAGAATTGAAACAGAGTTTAAATCATTTCAGGCTGCGGTCAAGAACAAGAACAACATGTTACAGGTTGTGAAGAAACAGTTGGTTTTCAAATTTGCTCCCTCACACAACGCAGAGATGTAGTAGGAAAAGTTTCACAAAACTTTAGAAGTTTAGAAAAAACAAGAACCGTATTCCTGTAGGAGAAGAACAGGCAGTGTCTGGGGAGGGAGTCAAGAGAGGAATCAGCCTGGCACTGTTGTGTGCTCACAGTCTTAAGTCCAACCCCTCTTGAATTGCGTTGACTCTCAATTAGCACCAATTTAGTGCTGACCGTTAGTTGACTAGATTCTCTGTTAGTTGACTAGATAAGTCAGGGGTCCCCAACCCCCGGTCCATGGACCAGTACTGGGCCATGGCATGCCAGCAACCGGTCTGCACAAACAAGCAAAGCCCCATCTGCAGGATGCAGGCAGCACACAAAACCATGCACCCTCTGGTCCACGGAAAAACCTCTCTCCACGGAACCGGTCCCTGGTGCCCAAAAGGTTGGGGACCTCTGAGATAAGCAATAAATCAGTTTAACAGCAACTTAACACCTGGCCCTGATTCTTAGACCCTGACAGTTCCCCTATTCTCATGGCACTATATGCTAGATCTAAAGTCAGGCTCCAGGTTTCCTTCCTCTGTAACAATTCACACGACTATATTAATTTCTACCACAGCAAAGTACAGATAGTCCTCAGCTTACAACTGTAATTGGTCATTAAGCAAGCTGTCACGTGACTGACACAATTTTATGACTCTTTTTGCAGCGGTCTTTGAGCAAATCACTATGGCCATAGTGAATCTACCAGTCCACTGTCCGCACTGGGTGGTTTTTGTCAGAGATCAAAAGTAAATGCCAATTTCCAGCAAAAAAAAACAAAAAAAACATCGTAAATCAAATTCAAATAACTTTATTGTGATCATTAATCAGCAGAAGAGAAAAAGAGAAGAAAATAGTTCCCAAATATCCAGAATATCCAATATCCATCCATCCTTTCCTTTCCTTTCCTTTCCTTTCCTTTCCTTTCCTTTCCTTTCCTTTCCTTCTTTCCTTCCTTTCTTCCTTCCTTCCTTCCTGTCATGGTGGCGCAGTGGTTAGAGTGCAGTATTGCAGGCAGACTCTGCCCACAGCCAGGAGTTAGATCCTGATCGGCTCAAGGTTGACTCAGCCTTCCATCCTCCCAAGGTCAGTAAAATGAGGACCCAGATTTTGGGGGGCAAATATGCTGACTCTGTAAACCGCTTAGAGAGGGGGCCGTGAAGCACCGTGAAGCGGTATATAAGTCTAAGTGCTGGTCCTAGCGCTATTCTCCTAAATTCTGAACACCGTTTTCGATTGACACCCCCCCCCCCACGCATGAGAGAAAATACCTGCAAAATCCCAGACATTTAAAATTGTGTCTTTCTTGATTTTGCCCCTTCGTGGAATCTTCCAGTCATGCACATCAATGCCGATGGTCGGATTCTGAGGGGCCAAATCTGGCCTCTTCCATTTCATCAGTTGTCGCAACAAGGTTGTTTTACCGCTGCCGGCGTTTCCAACAATCATGAGCTTCATTCTGTGGTAGGGAACGGCCTTCTTCAAGCGCAGTTGAAGGAACCTTGCAAAAAAAAGATGGAAAGGTTTTTTAATTATAGAATTGCTTTCGCAGGGGGAAAACACACATTTAAAAAGGGAACCCTTTCAATCTATATAAATAAAAATGTAAATGTTCGCTTGTTCAAAATCTTAAATCTCCGACAGTTCTTCACCAATTGCTTTGAAATTTTGACACAACGTTGCATTCGAATACGCGCGTGTTTTTATATACCTATATTATATAGATGTCACACCTGTGACAGGTAAAAACATGCTTTTTTAAAAAAACAGCGCCATCTGTTGGACATAAAAGCAACACACGCTTTTACCAGACAGCCACAGCAACGCGTGGCTGGGTACAGCTAGTATTATATATATATTTTATAGAAGTTTTTATTAATTTTTTCCCCATCCATACAGTAATAATTTTTCAACCAACGTGCTGTCTGAGTTTACATTCACGAATACATATTTAATTCCTAATCCTTTATTCTTTCCTCTAGCCATCGATAAAATAAGTTGCAAATTTGATAATATTCTGTTTCTTCTTTTTCTTTCAGTCTCAATATTATAACCACCGATCCATTTTTTTTCTTAAAAAAGTCCAATTTGTGTTAGGAATACCTTCAGCCAAGACAAAAAACGTGACCAAAACAAAGCTGAGTTTAGATGTTGTGATGAGCTGTAGTAATTCCTTTCCTACAAAAATAAGACTCAAGTATGTCTTAGGAAGATAAGTTCCCCTTCTACAGGTCGTCCTTGACTTACTACCTCAATTTCTGTTGTTAAGTGAGATGTTTGTTAAATGAATTTTGCCCCATTTTATGATGTTTCTTGCCTTGGTTGTTAAGTGAGAATCACTGCAGTTGATTAGTTAGTAACCCGGTTGTTAAGTGAATCTGGCTTCCCCATTGACTTGGCTTGTGAGTAGGTCACAAAAGGGGATCACATAACCTTGGGAACCAACAACGGTCGTAAGTATGAGTCAGTTGCCAAGCCTCTGAATTTTGATCCCATATTCATGGGGATGCTGGAAAGGTCATAACTGTAAAAAATATTCACTTTTTTCAGTGTCTTTGTAATTTTAAATAGTCACTAAACAAACTGTTGCAAGTCGACAACTACCTGTGTTACAATCAGTTTGTTTTTTTAAAAAAAGGCACATTTGTGTTAATAACATTGTCAGCCAAGACAAAAACCTGACCAAAATAAAACTAAATTTAGATGAGCCGTAATCATTTCTTTCTTACAATAATGAGCTCAAGTGACCGTTGGGAAGATACGTTTTCCTTCTCTCTCTTTTTTTTCCTGGAGCAGCTAACAAAAGCTTTGTGTTAGATCAGACAAATAAGAAATAAATCTGAACTACGGGTAGGATAAACTCACCTGATAATATCCCTTGCTTTGCCTCCCACGTGTTTGAAATCTAAGTTAAGGTGTAACCCTTCCAAAGGAAGGTCCCAGATGTTCGACAATTTCCCCATTTCATCTGGAAAACACCGTATACCTGGATTGTAACTAACGTCAAAAGATGTCAAGTTTTCAAGGAACCCAATTTCAGGAGGAATCTAGAGACAAAAGAAGAATATATATATATATTTCAGAACAGAATTATTAATCTTATCGGTTATAAATGTCAGTTACATGCCCAGTTAATCAAATGTAGCTAGTTAATTCTAGGCCAGGGGTGGGCAACCTTGGCTCTTTTACGACTCGTGGACTTCAACTCCCAGAATTCCTGAGTCAGCCACGCTGAGGGGAAAGGGAGAGGTTTCCAAGCTGAGCCGTGCCGGCTCAGGAATTCTGGGAGTTCAAGTCCACAAATCTTAAAGTTGCCAAGGTTGAGGACCCCTGATATAGGACAGGGGTGGGGAACCTTGGCCCTTTTATGACTCGTGGACTTCAACTCCCAGAATTCCTGAGCCAGCCACGCTGAGGGGAAAGGGAGAGGTTTCCAAGCTGAGCCATGCCGGCTCAGGAATTCTGGGAGTTGAAGTCCACGAGTCACAAAAGAGCCAAGGTTGCCTACCCGTGTTCTAAACCAATCATTGTTTCTTTTGAACAGTGTTCAGGTTTAATGTTACAGGTAGTTCTCGATTTACAACAGCTCATTGAGTGACTGTTTGAAGTTACAATGGCACTGAAAAAAAGTGACATACGACTGTTTTCCCATTTAGGACCGCTGCAACGTCCCCAGGGTCACGTGATCAAAATTCAGAGGCTTGGCAACTGGCATGTACTTATGACGGTTGCAATGTCCCCAGGTCATGTGACCTTTTGACAACCGAATTTCTCTGTGTAACTTCCCCTTCCTATAAGTAATGGCTGGAGATTCCCAGAGACACCCTTTTCAATGGATAGGATGCTGTTTGTTGCCAGCATAAAATTCTATCACCCAAGTTTTTCCTTCAAGGTAGCCTCTATTTTTAACCAAAGGATTCTTTCGGTAGTCGGAAAACAGAACCTTAATTTTCAAACGATGGTTACAAAAACTGGAGGGGTGGTGGTATTAGAGTGAGAAGCAGGTTGGCGTACTTTAGTGTCTAAGTATAAGACACAAACATTTTAATACTTCCTTAGCTGAGTGATGGAGGGATTCATTTTATTTTGGAGAACCGTGTCTCCACTAAAATTGTTAAAGTCCATTTCTTTTCTTCTTTTTTTTTATCTCCAGAGCCATTGCACCCTTTGTGGGTTCTTCTGAAGACTTACCTGCTTCAGGTTTAGCAATATAGTTTGGTAGACTTTCCTCTCTGTCTTCTTTTGATCCCCTTTTGCAATGTAAGCTTTGTATTAAGACAGAAAGAGTACAGAGAAGAGCAACAAAGATGATTAGGGGACTGGAGGCTAAAACACATAAGGGAACGGTTGCTGGAATTGGGTATGTCTAGTTTAATGAAGAGAAGGACCAGGGGGGACATGCTAGCAGTGCTCCAGTATCTAAGGGGCTGCCCCAAAGAAGAGGGAGTCAAGCTATTCTCCAAAGCACATGAAGGCAGGACAAGAAGCAACGGATGGAAACTAACCGAAAAGAGAAGCAATCTAGAACTAAGGAGAAATTTCCTGACAGTGAGAACTATTAATCAGTGAAACAACCTGCCTCCAGAAGCGGTGAATGCTCCAACATTGGAAGTTTTTAAGAAGAGACTGGACAGCCATTTGTCTGAAATAGTATAGGGTTTCCTGCCTGAGCAGGGGATTGGACTACATGACCTCCAAGGTCCCTTCCAACTTTATTATTATTATTATTATTATTATTATTATTATTATTGATAGGAAAAATCAACCTTTTTCTCAGCAGTTATTTGCACAGAAGCCGTTCTGCTTCCAACTTTATTATTATTATTATTATTATTATTATTATTATTATTATTATTATTATTATTATTAATCAGAGCTGATCGCCTCAAGTGTATTTTAAGTCCAATGCGATCAGGCCTGAAGAAATGTCATTTTCGGGAAAGAGCAATTGCTTCAAACATTCCTGAAAAGTATTTTGACCCAAGGAAGAAAAGCAGGGACGGTGGATAAAGTCGAAATAATTACTATCTTGTTCTGCGTTACCTCTCTTAATTTGTTGTCAGACAGGTGTAGTTTTTCAAGCCCAGCCCACCAAGAAGCTTTGTCGTTCAAGTCCAGAATGCTTATTTGATTGTGGTTAAATATCAATTCTCTTAAATTTGAAGATTTCCAAGATGCAGGACCAGGTAAAATTCCAATCCTATTGCTGCTTAAATCCACCGATCGCAAACTGGCAAAGAGAGACAGGAACACAAGTGCTATTAAGTTAAAAGTCAGACTTTGTAACTTGCGCCACACACACCCTCCGGTCCGCGGAAAAAACTCTCTCCACATAACCGGTCCCTGGTGCCCAATCTCTAACAGAGTGTGTATTGTTCTGTGTGTGATAGTTATAGTACCTGTTGTACGTGGCTTTTTAGATGTTGATTGGGGTGTGTGGATGGATGGCTTTGAAGTCATTAGCTGTCGTTTCTTTGTGCTGCCAAGCTCCTGCCTCTTAAGTACTTGATAGGCTGGGAGTAAATCAGCATCTTATTGACTGTTTCCCAGCTTCAATCACTTCCCTGGCTGTTTTTGTGCCTGCTCGTCCGACAATCTTAGTAGCTGCGAAATTAAATGTGTTGGGCGAGCAGGTACAAAAACAGCCAGGGAAGTGATTGAAGCCTGGGAAACAGTCAATAAGATGCTGATTTACACCCAGCCTATCAAATACTTAGGAGAAGAGGGCTGGGCAGCACAAGCCAACGACAGCTAATGACTTCAAAGCCATCCATCCACACACCCCAATCAACATCTAAAAAGCCACGTACAACAGGCACTATAAATACCACACACCGAGAACAGGACATGCTCCACTGGAGAGAAGTTCCCTCAGGATGGGCTCCAGCACAAGTCCAAAAGCTGGGAAGACTAAACCTCTGGTCCCAGGGACGGAGCCAGATTGGATCCTGCAACATTATCGTGGGACACGCACATTCGTCGTCATTCGTCGGAATATTAAAGAGTATGGCAACCTTCTTTGCAGAAAAATAGCTGTTATTTAATTTTCTGTGCTATACCCAAGGTTATATTATAGATGGACAAGAAAAGGCGGGGCAGATCCAATGGTCAACTTTGCTAGCTGTGCCCCAAAACAAAATATTACGGTTTTATGGTCATTTGTCACCATTAACAATCAACCGTTCAGAACTAACTTTATGCATTTGGGGCATTTTTATGGATTAAAAAAAAAGCTTCCAAACAAAAGAATACCAGTTAGAAATCTTTCATCACAAATAAGAAACCTGACAAGCATGTGTTTTTCCCCCAAGCAATAAATGCAATAGATCAGGGATCCCCCAGCACCGGGCCACGGCCTGGCCAGAACCGGGCTGTGGAAGTGACATGTGAGTGTGTGCACAGCTCAACTTGCGCCCGCAGCGGGCAGGCAAGTGTGGGCAGCTCCAGTTGTGTGAGTGGAGGGTATGCGTGTCTGCCGCTTGCACAAATGGAGCTGCATGCGCACATCCGCTTGACCGTTGCTTGTACGGAAGCATTCTCTTCCCTCCCTCCACGGCCGTCAGTCTGCAAATCCACAAAGTTTGGAGACTTCTGAAATAGATATTGGGGATTACTAGAAGTGCCCATCGATCGGTACAAGAACAGGAGAATGCAAATTTTAATGTATATATCCGAGTAACTTACTGTCGTGGTTCCGACAGATGAAACTCTTCAAAAGAACTTCGAGGCATTGATTACGTTAAAGAATCTTTATTTTGAGTAGCATAACATTGGCACTGCATAATCGAAGCCAAAAACTGAATTCCCCTCCCGAGCACATAGTATAAAAGCCCAATTCCCTCTTCCAATTAACAGTCATAAATCCCATTCCCCAATTAGCTTGAAATGCAGGCTTCCCCTCCAGTTCTCCAGCCCAATTCCTTATCAGCTCTGGTTACAATAACCTTGTTTCTCACCGCTAGGTTTAGTGTTGTTATGTCTAGCTGGACTCTCGTTCACATCCCCCCTCCCAGCATCACCTAACTCTAAAAGCAAAAGGTAAAAGATGGTTATATTTCCATCTGTTGTCAATGCAAAAACACCCGAAGTTAGCAGCGTTGACACTTACTGTGGTAAAAGAAGAATTGCCACTGGAACAGTGACAAAAGCATTCTGCGCTAGTTTCAGTGTGGTTATGTTAGAAGGCAAGGTATATATGGCATCTAAAACATATAGAAATAAACATGTTATTAATTGCTTTGGAAAACTATTGTCTTGTAAGACCATTTAAGAAAGCAGTTATCAAACAGATGTCCTATACAGGTAGTCCTCAACAATTTGTTTAGTGACCGTTCCTAGTGGACAATCATTTATATATGAGCCAGCAGTGTGCAGCAGCAGCCAAAAAAGCCAGTACAATCCTGGGCTGTATTAACAGAAGGGTAGAATTAAGATCGCATGAAGTATTAGCACAGCTTTACAAAACCTTTGTAAGACCACACTTAAAATACTGCATCCAGTTTTAGTCGCCATATCATAAAAGATGTTGATATTCAGGAAAGAGTGGGGAGAAGAGCAACAAAGATAATTAGGGGGTTGGAGGCTAAAACATATGAAGAACCGTTGCAGGAATTGGGTTTGTCTAGTCTAGTGAAAACAAGGACTAGGGGTGACATGATAGCAGTCTTCCAATATTTGAGGGGCTACCACAAAGAGGAGGGGATCAACCTATTTTCCAAAGCACCAGAAGGCAGGAGAAGAAACAATGGATGGGAACTAATCAAGGAGAGAAGCAACCTGGAATTAAGGAGAAACTTCCTAAGAGTGAGGACAATTAACCAGTGGAACAGCTTGCCTCCAGAAGCTGTGGGTGTTCCCACACTGGAGGTTTTCAAGAAGAGATTGGACCGCCACTTGTCTGAAATGGTGTAGGGTCTCCTGCTTGAGCAGTGGGTTGGACTACAAGACCTCTAAGGTCCCTTCCAACTCTGTTATTCTGTTATTAATATAATTTCAGCAATAGGTTGTGGTCTGCATGTTTTTTTAATTTTTATTTTATTTGCTCCCATTCCTAACACCACTCCGTCTAATGCTACGTACTCACCAATTTTATTTACAGCTGCATTGAGTATTTCCAATTTCAAACACTCCTGCAGAAGTTCTATATCCAGGTACGATATATCATTCTTGCTAATGTTTAAACTTTTCAGTTCTTTCAAACATAGGCGTCCCACTAACGCTGAAAGTCTGTTCCTAGGAGAAAAGGAAGGAAGAGCGTTACGGCGGAGGTCGCACAAAACAGCTATCTTGCTACAGGCCCGAGGTTGACTGCTCAATTTATTTATTTTATTTATTAACATATTTTATATGGCTGCCCAACTCACGGCTCCAGTGCAGCTTACGACATTTAAAAAAACCACCCCATAAAATCCCATCAAAATACAAATGCCATCCCGCAGATCTTTTCTCCTATACAAGTAGTCCTCAACTTGAAACAGTCCGTTTAGCGACCGTTCAAACTGACAACAGCACTGAAAAACAGTGACTCAGGACCGTTTTTCACCGTTACGACCTTTGCAGCCTCCCCATGGTCACGTGATCAAAATTCGGGCACTTGGCAACTGGCATGTACTTATGACGGTTGCAATCTCCTTTTGCAACCTTCTGACAAGCAAAGTCAATGGGGAAGCCAGATTCACTTAACAACCGGGTTACTAACTTATCCCACTGCAGTGATTCAAGTTAACGACTGAGGTAAGAAAGGTTGTAAAATGGAGCAAAACTCATTTAGCTCTCCGTTAACAATTTTGGGTTCAATTGTGGTCGTAAATCAAGGAATACCCATATTCAAGTCAGCCTCAGTTTCTGATGACTACATAAAGCAGGGGTCTTCAAACTTGGCCCTTTTATGACTTGTGGACTTCAACTCCCAGAATTCATCAGCCAGCATGCCTGGCTGAGGAATTCTGGGAGGGGTCTTCAAACTTGGCCCTTTTATGACTTGTGGACTTCAACTCCCAGAATTCCTCAGCCAGCTTGCCTGGCTAAGGAATTCTGGGAGGAGTCTTTAAACTTGACCCTTTTATGACTTGTGGACTTCAACTCCCAGAATTCCTCAGCCAGCAGTGCCTGGCTGAGGAATTCTGGGAGGGGTCTTCAAACTTGGCCCTTTTATGACTTGTGGACTTCAACTCCCAGAATTCCTCAGCCAGCGTGCCTGGCTGAGGAATTCTGGGAGTTGAAGTTCACAAGTCATAAAAGGGCCAACTTTGAAGATCCCTGACATAAAGCAACCGTGTGGTTTTCTTGGCTGTGTTACAGACATGGTTAATCGCAGCCTTCTTACAGGATGGTTGTGAAAGTTGGGCCTGACACACTTAACCCCATACAGGTCATCCTTGATTTACAACAGTTCGTTTACTGACTATTCAAAGTTACAACAATGCCGGGAAAAGCGATTTATGACTATTTTTCACACTTATGACCATTGCAGCATTCCCGGTGGTTAGGTGATTTACATCTGGATGCATGGCAACTGGTTCATATTTATGACAGTCGCAGCGTCCCAGGTTCATATGGTCCCGTTTTGCGACCTTCTGACAAGCCGAGTCAATGGGGAATTCAGATTCCCTTCACAACCGTGTTATTAATTTAACAACTGCAGGGATTCGCTTAACAAACGTGGCAAGAAAAGTGGTAATATGGGACAAAACTCACTTAACAAATGTCTCACTTAGCAACATACGTTCTGGGCTCACTTGTCGTCCTAAGTTGAGGACTACCTGTACTTTCCTCATCTTACCGCTCCCTACTCATGCTAACTCTGGAGAAAAATATATAAACACCTCGGCCTACGCTCTCACCCTTCCAATATGAGATGCTCCAGCTTGATCAGAATATCGCCAAGATCTCTAGGAATGCCTATCAGTTGGTTGTATGACAAATTGAGAAATTTTAAGGTTGGACAGGTGACTTTTGGATTGAAACATAAGGTAGGCCCAATTTCATTGCGCGAAACGTCGAGGTGAACGATCTGAGGCATTTCCAAGAGATACTGTGGGAAAGACTTCAAGCGGTTGCTGTGCAGGTCGAGATAAGTCAAACATTTCAGGGTCTAAAAGAAGAAAAAATTACGACAAATGAGCCTATTTCATAAATTACGACAGGGCAAATAAAGCCGTTTAAAAGGTAGCTTATTTAAGGGATGATTTGAGAGAGAAATATCTGGAAAAAGGCCAAAATGGTTACATGTTTCTCTCAAGGATACTCCTCTAATAAACGTAAATGGATTCCCCAGTTTTATCGTAACACCGTTGAATTTAGTCAGAAAGGATAGAAGACAGAACATAAAATCTGGAAGGGACCTCAGAGATCTTCTAGTCCAACCCCTACTCAAGACATGAGACCTTATATCATGGGCAAATGGTTGTCCAGGCTAGTTTTGAAAACCTCCAATGATGGAGCATTTAGAGGCCTCCAAACTCTTCAACACTGCAAGACGATCAAACCGGTCAGTCCAAGAGGAGATCAACCCTGACTGCTCTTTAGAAGGCCAGATCCTGAAGTTGAAACTCAAGGACTTTGGCCACCTAATGAGAAGGAAGGACTCACTGGAGAAGAGCCTGATGCTGGAAAAGATGGAGGGCAAGAGAAGAAGGGGACGACAGAGAATGAGGTGGCTGGATGGAGTCCCTGAAGCAGTAGGCGTGAGCTTCAATGGACTCCAGAAGATGGTAGAGGACAGGAAGGCCTGGAGGAACGTTGTCCATGGGTTTCGCGATGGGTCGGACATGACTTCGCAACTAACAACAACAACAAAACTCTTCAACGCATTGAATCCTTCGAGAAATTTCAGATTTTTCATTGACACCAACCCCCCCCCCCCACCCAATTCTATCTCTTCTCAGTCCAGGTTCTACAAATTACCCATTATGTCGGCTAAAACTAACCATTTGGAATTAAATGCACCTTACTTTTTATTTAATTTTATGTCATTTTGATTATATACTGTCAAGGAGAAAGAAGTCCTTGTAATTTATATAATAAAATGTAACCAATAAATCAGAGAAGGAGCAAAAAAACCCACCTGATTTGCTACCATTTGAATGTAGAGCGGGCCCTTAAAATAACTGAAAACTACACTGCACAGCCTGGCCCTTTAAGGGGGACACAGAGTTTCTTCGTTGAAGAAATGCAGTTAGTAATATGTAAATGTATTTCTTTATTGGTTTTTTTTAATTATTTTTCATGTTTTAAATTTTTGGTCGGGTGATGGACGTGTGCTTGGGATAAACACACACGTCCGTCGTCGACAAAAAAATAAATTAAATTAAACAGTAAAACGGTAAAAAATAAAATAATTAAAAAGCATATATAAATAAAAAAAGAAAACAAAAACAACAGGAAAAATATTCAGAGGACAGATCTGATGGACTACTAGGTTTTGTTTTTTTTTGCTGTTCAGTTTCCTATGTTGTTATAAAAATCACATTATCTAGAATTGTTTCTATTCTACAGAGATATTTTATGGCTCTAATTGTACCTAATAAAACATTCACTCTTAGCAATGGCTTATTCCGTTACAGAAGAAACCAGCCCAAAACTTTCTCTTAGATCGCTTTCCCGTTGCCTTCTAATTTTTGCAAATTTTGCAAAAACATATCGCATCTCACATTCTTTCAAACGGCTTATCCAAGTTTGGAGATTAACATTCTTCCAATGAGGACACAGTCCAGCTAGAAAATTATAGCATTCTTAGAAACTATGTTCTTAATGTTCTTAATCACACAGCTAATGGGACCAGGAACTAGTTTAACGAAGAGAAGGACGAGGGGGGACATGATAGCAGTGTTCCAGTATCTCAGGGGCTGCCCCAAAGAAGAGGGAGTCAAGCTATTCTCCAAAGCACCTGAAGGCAGGACAAGAAGCAACGGATGGAAACTGATCAAGGAGAGAAGCAACCTGGAACAAAGGAGAAACTTCCTGACAGAACAATTAACCAGTGGAACAACCTGCCTCTAGAAGTGGTGAATGCTCCAACACTGAAAGTTTTTAAGAACAGACTGGACAGCCATTTGTCTGAAATGGTGTAGGGTTCCTGCCTGAGCAGGGGGTTGGACTCGATGACCTCCAAGGTCCCTTCCAACATCATCATCATCATCATCATCATCATCATCATCATCATCATCATCATCATTATTTTTATTATGAATCATCGCACAGTCAGCCAGATGTTCAGACTGGATTTGGCATTTTTGTCTACCTATCGAGTCCTTACCCAGGACCTGGGATAGGCAGATGTAGATGTTTGATGGTATTACAGATATCGTCGCTGGATGGAAGCCGTTCCTAGTAAGGCCACCTTTTGCAATTGACTAATGGCGAATTTGTCAATGCCAATGATGTTCAAGTGGTGCTCCAGTTGTTTTGGGATTGCACCCAAGGCGCCTATTATTATTATTATTATTATTATTATTATTATTATTATTATTATTATCATCATCATCATCATCATCATCATTATTATCATTATTATCATCACCATCATCATCATCATCATCATTATTATTATTATTATCATTATCATTATTATTATTATTAAAGTTGTTCCAGGTTGTGTTTTAATTGCTTTTCGGACTAAAATCAAGTATTTTCCGATTCCTTCATCCTTCTCTTCCGACGTTTGGGAGACTCACCTCACAAAGTTGTTTTGGAATGCAGGAAAGCTGGTTGTGATGCAGTTCTAATTTGTCGAGATGTTCGAAGTGGGTAATTAAGCAAAGACTTTGACTGATGGGATCTATGTTCTCCAGCTCATTGGAAGACAGGTCGAGGGATTTAATATATTCTCTGTCAGAGGCCAGGGAAGAAAAACTGTCCGAGCTCTTCAGGTTTGATTGGAAGATAGACGTGCCTTCTAATTTATAATTAAAAAAAAAATAACAACATTCAATTTCTTTAGCAACATCTGTTGCCCTGGTTTCATCGGATTTTGGCGAGCTGTACCAAACAGTTAAAAACTTTTAGATTAAATGTCTAAAGGAGTTTAGCAATGTAGAAGTCTAACAGTTGCTTTAAAATACACGTAGTCCTCGACTTATGACAATTGAGCCCGACATTTCGGTGGTTCAGTGAATTCTGCCCCCTTTTATGACCTTTCTTGCCACCGTTGTTAAGTGAATCACTGCCGTTATGAAGTTAGTGACAGGGTTGTTAAGTGAATCTGGCTTCCGCATTGACTTTGCTGGTCAGGTCACTAAAGGGGATCACGTGACCCCCCCCGGGACCGTCATAAATGTGAGTTACTCGAAAAGCATCCGAATGCAAATCACATGACCATGAGGATGCTGCCGTGATCACATGACCCCTGAATATAGCAATCGTCATAAATATGAGTCGGTTGCCAGGGGGTCTGAATTTCGATCACGTGACCGTGGGGATGCGGCAACGGTCGTTAAAGCATGAAAAAAGGTCATAAGTCACTTTTTTCCAGGATCGTCGTAACTTTGAACGGTCACTAAATGAACTGTGGTAAGCCGAGGACTACCTGTACTGAGAATCGGTAACACTTTCACGCGTTTAAATATTGGCACGTGGGACTAAGAAATAAAGGGATTACCGTGGTTTCCCGAAAATAGGAGCCAATAGGAAAGTAAGCCCCAGGGTGATTTTTCAGGATGCTCGTAATATAAGCCCCGCCCCCCAAAATAAGCCCCGGTTAAGATCGTCAACCGGACGGATGCATTGAGTACCGTATTTCCCTGAATATAAGTCCTAACTGGAAAATAAGCCCTGATGAGTCCTTTGGAGCAAAAATTAATACAGGACCCGGTCTTATTTTCGGAGAAACACGGTAGGAAGTAAACAAGCTAAATTATTGTATGCAAACCACAGTACGTGGTTACGCCGAAACCAAACCACATTAAACTTGCATGATCCCAATAATAGTAACACTATGAACAGTCTTGCTCGTATTTTAGTATTCTGCACCATGATAATAGCTTCGTTTTGTTTTGAACTATTTTGGATCAGGCGTGCTTTTGATAAGATACGTTTAAACTTTAATATCTATTATAATTTTCTACTTACTGTAGGACTCTTCAGAAAACACATTATTTCTTCTTTGGTTCGTTAATGGTTCGTAAGGTGATCCAGGCCCCTGAAAAGAAAAAGAAAAATCAAAAGCGGGACTTTTGAACACTTTTTAAGGATATTCTACTAAGATAATTAAAGGCCTGGAGGCTAAAACATATGAAGAACGGCTGCAGGATTTGGGAATGGCCAGACTAGAGAAAGGAAGGACTAGGGGGGACATGATAGCAGCATTCTAGTATTTGAGGGGCTGCCACAAAGAGGAGGGGGTCAATTTATTTCCAAAGCACCAGAAGGCAAGATAAGAAACAATGGATGGAAACTGATCAAGGAGAGAAGCAACCTGGAATTAAGGAGAAATTTCCTAACAATTAATCAGTGGAACGGCTTGCCTCCAGAAGTTGTGGATGCTCCATCACTGGAGGCTTTTAAGAAAAGACTGGACAGCCACTTGTCTGAGATGGTATAGGGCAGGGGTAGGCAACCTTGCCTCTTTTATGACTCGTGGACTTCAACTCCCAGAATTCCTCAGCCAGCCATGCTGAGGGGAAAGGGAGAGGTATCCAAGCTGAGCCGTGTTGGCTCAGGAATTCTGGGGGTTGAAGTCCACCAGTCATAAAAGAGCCAAGGATGCCTACCCCTGGTATAGGGTCTCCTGTTTGAGCAGGGGGTTGGACTAGAAGACCTCCAAAATCCCTTCCAACTCTGTCCTAAATTTAAAATTTGATTTTGCTCATCAGAAACCAGCAGTGAAGGTCTCACACACAGCCTGCGGGTGACCACAGGATGCTGTAATGTTGTATTTGTGATTGCCGAGTGCCTGAATCGTGATTGTGTAAGCACAGGGATGCTGCGATGCCTGCAATGACGAGGTCCCGTCGTTAAGTCCCCCCCCCCCTCATTCAGAGCCATTGTAACTCTGAATGAGAGCTGAACTGGCCGTCGTTAAATGAGGACTCCCTGTACAGTTGGAACCCATTTAAACCCTTTCTCTCACCACGGATCTAGAATGTCTTTGGAGGGGAGGAGAGTAGGTTTGAAGAGGTTTCGGGAGGTCTGCGGCGGCCACGGAGTAAGATTTCTGCCTCACCATAAATGAGCTTTCACTGCCTGAGGTGAAAAGAAAAAAAACGATTAAAATAAATCACACTTATATGTACATAACAGGGTAATGAAAGAAACTAAAAAAAAACCCCCACCAAACTTCCACTAATAACAATCCAGATGTCAGAAATGTAGCATGATGCAACCCCCCAAAATATATTGTAGCCTCAATCAATTTACAGATAGTCCTTGATTTATGGCAGGGGTCCTTAAACTTGGCCACTTTTAAGACTTGTGGACTTCAACTCCCAGAATTCTGGGAGTTGAAGTCCATAAGCATGGCTGGCTGGGGAATTCTGGGAGTTGAAGTCCACACTTAGCAACATAAATTTGGGGCTCTATTGTGGTCATACTGTAAATCAGGGGTCCTCAAACCTGACCACAATAGAGCCCCAAATTTATGTTGCTAAGTGAAACATTGAAGTGACTTTTGTCCCATTTTATGATCTTTCTTGCCACAATTGTGAAATGAACAGAATTACTTGCCACTTCTGACTTGTAAATTCTGAGTTGCAGTGAAATTCATTAAAACAATAATCTGTTCCACCTTTTCCGCAATGCATAGGTTATGCAGATTAAAACAGATTAGATTATAACATTGCACATTACAGCTGGAGGAACAGAGGCAGAGATAACACTGTCATATTTAATATTTTTTTTAAAATATTGAAAACTGTAGAAAACTGTAGATTCCCACAATCCTCATGCTATAGACACATCATTCCCATGCCCGTAACTCCAACTGACTGTGTTCTTTTTACACACAAGTGTGTTGATATATTAACGGAGCGATAAATCTGTTCATTTCATTAAGCAAATGTACCTTCGCTCTCTACGTCGTCGCTCAGAGAGAAAACATTGTCAGCTAAAGGATCAGGTAAGAACGTCCATTCGTCAAATTTGTGCATTTCGTCATTCTGGCTGCTTAAGTCAGATCTTGACTGATCTGTGTAACTACTCGTCCTCTGATATCGAAGGACCATTACGGCCAACGCGGAACCTGGATTTTACATACAAGAAAGAAATGTAATACTATTTCACAAATACCGGACAGACTACATGCTACATATAGTGGCTGTGTTCAGAGCCGTAAGTAATTTGAACGTACGTGCGCTGGTTTACATAATTCGATTTCCATTTTAGAACAACTGGAAAGCTTGGACGACCTGCTTCAAAATAATGCAGAGTAGTGAAATTATGGCATTAAGTTTTTCTCTTCGTACAATGCCTTATTCTGAAGTGGGGACGCCCTGCTTCTCAATCTGAGGGCCATTCTGCAACTGGTTGAACAATAAATATACAGTAGTGGCCAAAATTGTGGAAACCTTTTGGGAAAAGTGTACAGTAGAAATGCCACCTTTGGTTAAGTTTCCACCCATTTTTTTTTCTAATTTCTTTATAACGGTAGCATTGTTCACTTAATAATACTATTTTACATCGCTTTCTGGGTGATCAGTCAACTCTTTGCACCATTACTTTAATTTTATTACCTTTTACAAGCTCATTAAATGAAAGAACACCAAAAAAACCCAACTAACTTGATAGCGATTTGATTTGATTTTGATTTTATTAAATTTATACCCCGCCCTTCTCCCGGAGGACTCACATAACACATAACACACTGACAAACGTCCTCCTCTCAGCTTCAATACATGACATCAATCACTGGATCCTACTTTGATCTGATTGGCTCATGGCCAAAACAAGATGACACCTGATTGGTTCTCTAAACACTCATGCTCATTGGCTACAATCAGATGAAGGAAATCTACCTGATATCAACCTAAGCAAATTGTGCTTCCTTTTTCTGGTTCTTTGGCTATAACTTTTCATAGAATACAGTACAGATAATTGAACAAACTTTGTTGCATTACATTCTTGATTAAATTATCTTTCCATTGATATATAATTTTATGGTACTGCTCCAAAAATAAAAGTAGTGTTATTAGCCATCAAACCTCAAAAATACACTTTTTCCAAAAGGTTTCCACAAGGCCACTACTGTATGATTTTTTTGTAAACAACTCAGGATGGCGAACATATCCAACATAGCTTCTTCCTCCTACTTTCCCCACAACAGCCCTGTCAGGCTAGTTGGGGTGTGTGTGTGTGTGTGTGTGAGAGAGAGAGAGAGAGAGGGGGGGGGCTGGCTCAGAGTCACCTAGCTGGCTTTTATGCAGAAGGTGGGACTAAAAGTCACAGTCTCTTGGTGATTGGTCCAAAATTACCCAACTGGCCCCTGCTTTCTAGTCTAATTGAATGGGACTTGTTCCAGAATTCCACAACAAACAATGGAAAAGGTTGGAAGCTCCTTGCCTCCTGACAGCTTCTCCCTCCTACTAACAAAATAACTACGGCAGAAATCTAAATCAAAGGATGGCACAGCAAACAATCATTATCCATGTTCATAGGACTATGGTTTGTCTGTATGAAAGATTCTAGGAACAAGCCAACTTACGCTGTCTAATATAGGGCTTTTCAACCTTTTCACCCATTGTACCACTTTTAGGAGATGACAACATCCGAGTACCACCAGCAAGGTGTCAAAAACTTGACGACCCCCCCCAAAAAAGAGAAAAAGTGATAAAGTGCAGGTAGTCCTCGACGTACAACAGTTCGCTTAGTGACTGTTCGAAGTTACAATGGCACTGAAAAAAGTGCCCCCCAAGCCACAGCCGAGCAAGACCCCTGACTGCCCACCCAGCGGCGCTCTTCCTCCTGTCCGAGGTTTTCATTGTTGTGAGCATTTCTGTTGAGGATTGGCAGCGGGGGGTAGGGTTGGGGGGTGTTTGGTTTTTATTCCCCCCGTCTGCTGGGTGGTTGCAGCAGGTTTTGGTCACTTCACATGACCCTGGGACACTGTGACCGTCATAAATATGAATCAGTTGCCAAGCATCTGAATGTAAATCACAAGACCCTGGAGGGGCTGCAACATTCCAGCTGATTGGCGCTTCTTCTGGGCTCAGCAGAAGCACCAGGATCAGCGCGGAGCTCCAGCTGGATCCTGGCGCTGATCCTGGCGCTTCCACCGAGCCCTGACAGCCCTGCAGCTCCAGCCGTCTCTCGCTCAGGCTTGTGCGGTGCTGCCACCGGTTCAGCTCATTCCTCTCCCCCGCTACCACTTTTCTAGGATGGTCGCGTACCACCTGCCAGGTGCCAATGTACTACAGGTGGTACCTGTACCACTGGTTGAAAAGCCCTGGTCTAATAATCCAATACTCAGAATTTTCAGAATATACAGTACAAGTGTCGACTCAGTGGCCTGTGAAAGACCCGTTGGCTCTTATCCTATTTAGCGGCGAGCTCTGAAATAGCATAGAGGTGGCTTGACTACCCCTTTGGGGGAGCAGCCATCCCAATCAGGAGGAGAGTCAAACATGGAATTAGCCTGGACTCACTGCGTAAACACAAGAGGGCAAGGTCTAACTAGCCCTGAATGCCTTTGAGCCTCGCCTGGTCATTCACAGGCAAAAGCTGCCAGTCTGGGGCGATTCCTGTATTATAGGCAGGCAACATCTATCTAACAAAATGAAATTCAATGGTGAAAAAAGTAAGGTTCTACATTTAGGCAAGAAAAACCAAATGTGCAGATATAGTATAGGGGGTACCTTGCTCAATAGTAGTAACTGTGAGAGGGACCTCAGAGTCCTAGTGGATAATCACTTAAATATGAGCCAGCCGTGTGCCACAGCTGCCAAAAAAGCCAATGCAGTACTAGACTGCATTAACAGAGGGATAGAATCAAGATCACGCGAAGTATTAATACCACTTTACAATGCCTTAGTAAGGCCACACTTGGAATACTGCATCCAGTTTTGGTCACCACGATGTAAAAAAGATGTTGAGACTCTAGAAAGAGTGCAGAGAAGAGCAACAAAGATGATCAGGGGGCTGGAGGCTAAAACATATAAAGAACGGTTGCTGGAATTGGGTATGTCTAGTTTAATGAAGACAAGGACGAGGGGTGATATGATAGCAGTGTTCCAATATCTCAGGGGCTGCCCCAAAGAAGAGAGAGTCAAGCTATTCTCCAAAGCCCAGGAAGGCAGGACAAGAAGCAACGGATGGAAACTAATCAAGGAGAGAAGCAACCTAGAACTCAGGAGAAACTTCCTGACAGTTAGAACAATTAACCAGTGGAACAACCTGCCTCCAGAAGCGGTGAATGCTCCAACACTGGAAGTTTTTAAGAAGAGACTGGACAGCCATTTGTCTGAAATGGTATAGGGTTTCCTGCCTGAGCAGGGGGTTGGACTAGATGACCTCCAAGGTCCCTTCCAA